GAGTCCCTCCCCGGCTCTCCCGGAGCCCCTTCGGGCACTGGAAGGGGCTCTGAGCTCTCCCCTTTTTCGCCTTCTCTTCTCTGAACCCCCCAACTCTCCCAGCAGAGGGGCTCCAGCCCTCCCAGCATCTCCGTGCCCTCCTCTGGCCCCGCTCCACCAGCTCCGTCTCCTTCTGCTGGTGGGACCCCCCGAGCTGGAGGCAGCACTGCAGGGGGGTCTCCCCAGAGCAGAGCAGAGCGCAGCAGAGGGGCACAGTCCCCCCTCGCCCTGCTGGCCACGCTGCCGGGGACGCAGCCCGGGTTGCCGGTGGCTCGCTGGGCTGCCATCACCCATTGCCGGCTCACGTTGAGCTTCTCATCACTCAGCACCCCCAGGTCCTTCTCCCCAGGGCTGCTCTCCACCAATTCCCCACCCAGTCTGGATTTGGGCTCGGGATGTCTGCTCTGTGCCAGTCGATCGCTGGAGATAAAGGCTGAGCTCGAGTGATGGCGGAATCTGGTTTGGCATCCCGGGGTGCAGCTGATGCTCTGCTCCGGGTGACCGATGTGGCTCTGGGGCTCCTGGTGGGGAAAACCAGCAGAGGAAAACCCGCACCGGGCAGGAGCAGCTGGAAATGCTACGGAACCGGCACAGAGCTTAAAGCAAAGAGCAGAAGAGGGATGGGCAGATGCAGAGAGGATCCCTCATAGATGGGGCAGAGCATAGAGGATCCGCAGACCTCACCTCCCCATGGGAAGGAGCTCAAAACCCAAAATATTTATGGCGTTGCTGAGCTCTAGGCCCTTTTTGCGCGGTGCCGCAGGGGTTTTCTTTGCCCGTGGGGGTAAAAATGCCGCCGCCTGCCCCATCCCCTTCACCGGGGCTCCGTCCCCTTGAGCTTTTTCCCAGTCTGTTATCCCAACCGCAGCGTTTACCTCTGCAACTGCCGGAGCTTCCCAGGCAGATGTTTGGAGGCAACGCTCGCTCCCTGCGCAGACACCTTCCTCTTCTGGGTTGGTTGGGTTTTTTTTTTTCCCTTTTTTTTTTTTTTTTTTTTTTAGCAAACATATATTTAACTTGTCAGCCTGCAGCTGATCCGCTTATACCTAAACTCCTCTCTCTCTCTCCCTGTTGAATAGGGAAGGGGCTGGCACGCCACGCAGTGTTTGCACACACACACAGCCTCCACACTCGTAGTACCTCTAAGACATCCTGTAATTAAACCCGTGAGCTCTTCCGGGCAAGAACTCGTGGTTTTATACGTGTATATTATTTATTAGGGTCGCTGCAGTCCATAGGGCTGAGCAGCCGGGTCGTTCGAGCCCCTTCCACGCCAAATTGCCTTTATGCACATATGTGTGCATACGTTATTTTGCCCTGAGCATCTCTCAGATACCCGAAAAACTGCCTGAAAACCCCCAGGGGAGAAGTAAAAACGGAGAAGCAACACGCGTCGTAGGGAGGGGGGTGAGAGGGAGAGACCTCCCTCCATCCATCCTCCTCCCCTGTCCCCCGCTCGCGGCGGAGCAGGATGGATGGGGCTGGCATTTGTTAGATGAAAGCATATTTTTCACCGGCGCTGGGGAATTGCTTCCCAGAAAGCTTCGGCGTTTAAAAAGAGAGGGGGGCTGAAAGCAAGGAGAGCCCGAACAGGCTTGCAGCCGTGCTCCCCGTGAAAGCTTTTGCCACCCAGAGCATCTCCTCTGCACCAGCTGGGACAGAAGGATGGGGCGCCTTGCCCTGCCAGTTAAAAAAAAATAAAAAAAAAATCCCAGTTACAGGCTGAACTCGTGCCGAAGGCTCCCAGAGCTGTAAAAATGCGGCACCTTACGGCGTCAGAGCGGGTTCAACTCCTCCGTTAGCTGGCAGCGAGGAACAACCTGTGAAACAAAGGGGTCTGGAGCAGAGGGGAGGTTAAAGAAGAGGGAGGTGCAGCCAAGGAAAGCCCCGGTCTCCAGTGGGAAAGAGCTTTTCTCACACACCCGATCCATTTTCCTGCCCTTTTCCCATTTCCCTTCATCGCAGGGAAGCCCAAAAAGCTGTTTCCTCGCCGATGTCAGGGCGTACTCCATGAAGATGACTCCTACGGGGCACTTGAGCACGAAGCCAAAGGGTTTCCCATCACCCAGCCCAGCCTGGGGGGACCCAGGACCCAAGGTGGGCATCATCGGCAAAGCCCGGTGAAAGCTCCGGGGCGCTCTGGAAGGCAGCAGGGCTTTCACCAGCCTTTGCCGAAGCCCACACGGGTCTCTGCCACCTTCCAGAGTCATCTCGGACCCGACGCTGAAGCCTCCCAGTCCCCAGCGAAGGTGGGCAAACACACGAGATGCCCACGAGGGCTTTTTTTCCCCACCCTGAATCGTCCCCCACAGGGGCTAGGCAGATTTTCCCAGGAAAAAGGGGCTTTTAGGGAGAGTGGGAGACAGCATCCGAGCTGCCCCGTGGGTCAGGGATGGTGGCGGGAGCATCCTGGAGAGCACAGCAGTGCCGGTCGATGGAGAACGCGGCTCCATCTCCCTCAAGATCCCACTTCTGCAAAGAGAGGACAACACTCCCGCCTTGTCCCCCAGATCCTAAACTCCTTGCAGCTTGGTCCAGGCGATCGGTGTCACCGCGACACCGGTGACAACGGCTCTGCCGCTGCCCCAGCGACACGAGGATGCTGTCCGGACTCCGAATTACCGCATGATGCGCCGTGGAACCGCGCACCCCATGGGCTTCGCTCCCCCATCCATCTGCGGGGATGCTGCGGGACGGTCTTCACGTGTTTCATTTCTTCTGCTAAATCGGTTTAAAAAAAAAGATAATTTAAAAAAAAAAAAAAAAGTGCCAACCAGCATTTTACAGGATGCCGACGGATTTTTTCACTGGTTCATTTCTTTCGCTAAATGCCATTTGTAATCGCAAGCCGCCCGTCCTAGTGCAAATATAATTACATATTTATTGCCAATATAACTCTGAGTTAATTATACGGCAACTAATTTTCTCAGCAGGGGGTTGTAATATTTGGGTGTACAGGCGACAGCTGTAATTCTGAGCGCTTTTCTCCTCTCCTTTCTTTAACACAGTACGCAACGTTGCACCACGAGGCGCCAGAGGGGACGAGCCCACGTGCAGCAGGCGCAGAAGAAGTCTTCGTTCCAGACGTGGCCGAGCGCGGAACTTTCCAGACAGGATTTCACCTCCTTACTCCTCATTGAGATTCACTTCACCGCTCGGGTTTGTGTGTTCATTAGCGGGTAAATATCTATTGTTGGGCTCTTTTATCAGTTGGAAGAATTGCCGGGCTTTTGTTTGGTAAATTACTCTTTCATCTCTGAAGATGCTGTTTGTGTGGCAAACACTGCTCAACACACTGCCTCCTGATTATACTCAGTTTCTTTTGTCTACCTCTTGAATAGAGGTTTTCCACCAGCGCCATAATAATGAAGCCATCTCCAGATTGAGGTGATTAAGCCCTCACTTCTTCGGGCTCCTTTTCGTCCCCATCTGAAACTTGGTGGCTTTTCCACATGTAGTCTCCGGCTTTTATTTTATTCCGGTTTTGCTCCTCCGGCAGCTGGAGGATTCACAAAGGTTGCTTGGATCCAATTTGATGAAGATGATCCCTACCTTCCTGGTGTCAGGTCCTTCATGAGATGCTCTTATGATATCCATCTCCCTCAAAACAGCCCAGGGAGCCACCGGCAACCCGGGCTGCGTCCCGGCAGCGTG